ACCTCGTGACACACGGTGCTTTAAAAGTCGCATTCTTTTCCAAGTTGTCGAAAAAAAAATAAACGAAACGAGTGCTAAAGGGACAAGAGGAGTAAAGAGGAGCGAGGTTTACTTCCGCACTCCGCGAGAGCGGCGTGTGAAGAGGACGAAAGGGGAAGAGAAAAGGGAATTGTTGGCGAGTGTGTTATCTTTTCTTTTTCAAGTTGGAGACACGTGTTAGAACCAAGTAGCGTATGCTGTGCGCGCATCGTGATGTGGGATAAAAAAGTAGTTTATTAACAATAGAATTTAAAGATACGTGGATACTCGTAAACTCGTTGAGGATAAGACACGCTGGACACGAAGAAAGTTGCGTGACAGAGGCGCAGGAGAGGTGAAAAGTTTCTTTCAACTGGTCATACCTTTTAGAAGGAATGCGTAACTGTGCTCAACTCGATCGCTACCAGTCGACCGAATCACGATCGGAGTGAACTTTGATTATCTATTGTCGGCGATTTAAGAAACTAGATCGACGGTTATCGCATCGGACTCTCCGTGCTTATTTTCATGAGCACGTGATACCGTATGACGGAATAACTTAAAAGGACACGAAATTTCTTCGATCACGCGTGTGATCTTTTTCGGGATCCGCGGACCCGGCGCGTTCCGTTGCTCCTTTTTCGTTTACGAATCTCTCTCGAGAGAGAGAGAGAAAGACGGAAGAGGAAGGGAGACGGAGCGTTGCGTGCGCGCGCGTGTGAGTGGACGCACGCGTGTCCGCGTGCGTGCGTCGCGGACGCGCGTGATGCAAGCCGCGTGGACTGTCGCAATTCGGGCCGGATAAATAATCGCGGATCGACCGCTCGGCGCGTCCGCTCGCGTATTCGTCGAAAAAAATCGTCGCGGGGGTGGGAAGACTCGCGGAGCGAGGAGGGGAACGCGTCGCCTCGGTCAGTACAGTGAGTGCGGAAGGAATCAGGTGCGGGAAACAAACTCCGCAGACATGTTGGTGCCTCACTTCCTTCTTCCCGAGTGTCGCGTGTAGCAAGATAGAAACGGCAGGTAAGGGGATTCTTCATTTAGCAATTTTAGCCACGAAGTGACTTTGACTGCTGAATCGATGCCGCGATGACTACTCGTCGATTAATATTTCTTAGCATTTTCAAACAGAACAGTGGTTTTAAATCGATTCGAGATCGATTAAATTGAATATGTCATGAATTCAGATTTAATTAAAAGTGTGTTAAAAAAAGTGTAAATTATTAATAAATTTATTGTGGGATAACTTTTATAATTTATAATGTTTCAATTTTCAATATATTAGTCTGATTCTAAGCATCTGTTTTCTAAGCATCTAAAATGTTTAAAAATAATTATATCAATTTAATCCTAACTCTAATAGTTCAAAGCAGATGGTATAATCGCTCTCGGAGCGATAAGAACTCATTGCAGTCGAAAATGTTATAAGAAATAGGCTCAAATATTCATAATTCATTTTTCAAGTTACATACGATTAAAGAAAAAAGAAATTCTTTTTTGTAAACTAAGCTTTGGAAAGATAAATTTGACATTTTCATCCTCTTTGATTAATTTTGGGTGAACTTTAGTAACATTTTAATTTGAAGTTCCAATTATAATGCCGTTAAATAAGTGATATTTCATAAAAATTTTGCATTGAATGTCGATTTAATTAGACGAAAAAGAACTGTAAATTTCAGCTGTTATTTTGAGCAAATGTGATATCTGTCATTTTATTTTTCGTTCTCAGCACTTCGTTAGATTTTAAAAGTTGATATTTGGAATCTTGATGTTATTTGATTTAAAAAAAATTGACTTTAAATTAAAGAACTTGTCGCTATAATTAGCGATCGGCGATTAGCAGAAATGTCAGTTACCTAGAGTCGTCAATTTCAGCTAATATTCAATAAAGTCAAATTACTTACATCAATTTTTTTCTCTTTTTATTCTTCTTCGCATAACAACAAAAAGATATAGATAAACGACTACGATAAATTACAATCCGACGCGATATATTTAAAAGACGCGATACTTAACAATTAACGCTTATCTTTTATTTTTAACATAAAAAACAAGGCCATTTGTTATCGGTATAAATATATTATATAAATTAGCCTTTCAATCACGAAATATAAAATCGATGCTAAAAAGAAACTCGGTACTTTTCTCGATTCAAACGATTTCGTACGGGGAAAGGGTCGCCGTGGCCAACAATCCCCAGAACGGGATTCTTATCGTCGGGTAAAAGTTTCAGCGACATCACGGAGTTAAAAGTGACGGTGTCTCGCCCACGCAAGACGCGCCGGTCGCGTGCGTGGAACACGCGTGCATCGCGCTCGTAGACACGTCGTGGAATAGCAAAAGGAGACGGCCGCGGCGATTTGGTAACGGCGACGAGGGGAGGGGGGAGGGCGATCGAACGGTCGGATCGCGCGTTACTTAATAGGCCGAGCGAGAAGCGAACGACCGGCGACGAGGCTCGGCTCGCGAAAATGAACGACTCTTGCACCCGCCGGTAATCGCATACGATCGAGGAAGTGATTGCGAGCGTTACAAGTGGTCTGCGCCGCAAAGTATTGATTTACTTAGAAATCTCTTTCGGGCGTGCACGTTCACTCGGTGTGCCGCCGCGAGGGAACTAAATTTAAAAGGGTGCCAACATCGTTGAATCATCGGTGAATAATTAATAAATATATCCGGGCGTGATGTGAGGATACGCGATCTATGAGTCTCTGTGGTTTTGCATGAACGAGCTCGTGGTACTCTTCCACTCATCGTTCGTTCGCATCGATTTTCACGCTCGAGACGCGAACTATATTTTATACAAGTATTTTCAGCCTAGGCCAACTTTCGGCCCTCGGAGCGATCCCCCTCCTCTTCTCGATTTGCTCGCAGTGTTTGCGGTTGGCTCAAACGCAGAAGACTCGTTAATGTAGTTAAGAAATCCGTAATAAACCTGGCGTACCCATTTTTGTCTCATCCTGGCAGTTAATTTCGAAAATTTACGGGACTACTTCCAATTTTACAGTTAAATTTATTACGTCGCGTACGACCGTGAATTGGATATATTAAAAGAACTTCTCTTTCATTGAAAAGAATTAAGCTCATGAAGCTCACGAAGTCTCGTATTTTGTTTGAAACAAAACAATAATTTTTGTATGATTGCTGTTTCGTAAAGGCAGAAAGGCGCTTTATTCAACGCTTTATTATATCATTGGAGTAACGTGATGTAACGATGTTATAACTTAGAGCGACAAGTTCTATCTTGTTATTGAAAAGCTGATTTAAGGTCAAGAAATTTTATTCGGTTACATAAATAATTTCGTTGCGTTAACGCGACGATGTAATAAATTCTCTATTCTATTCTCCCAGTCTCTCGTGTCTCAACGAGCGATTACGTGGCCGACCTTCGTGGCGCCCAGGGCCGAGGGCCAAAACCGATATATACGTTCGATAAACATTACGGCGCGCACCATAAGGGCCCCGTATATGTGGAAGAGACCTTGAGACCACGTGGACCCAACGACCCCGGAAGATTAAAATCGGCCTATCGCTTGTGTCAAATCATTCCCGAAATGTTCAAAATACGGAAAAGAACAGAGGTAAAAAAAAATGTCGATCGGTAAAAAGTACTCGCATGTGACAAAGAAACAAGATAATCGACAGTTTGAAAATAAAAGATTTTGAAAACCTTTGGAGATTAAAAGAGAAATATTCCTTTGTTATTTTCCTTTGAAAAAAAAAAAAAAACGTTAATATCTCTTTCTTTACATAATTTCTATAAATTTATTTATTTTCGAGATAAAAGTACACCTCATCGGTCTGTACAATAGAACTTTAATATCGTATCCCATAAAGGCCATTTTATACTTTCTCTCCCTTTCCCCCCTTTCCGGTATTCCTTCTTCCCTTCCGGAAAATTGATGATCGTAATCGAAACAGATTGGTCGCTTCGCCGCCGTGTATTTTCGTCTTTATATTTCTTGGCAGCGAGACGCACGCATCGCGTACGCACGGACGACCCTGAAAGATCCGACGCCGCGTGAATGTTTAACCATCATCGAGCCCGGCGTACAAATTCTATTCCGCGTTCGCGCGAGCGCGCTCGCTCGCTCGCTCGCTCGCTCGGGTGGCGCACCTTGATAGTTAATGACAGCGCCCGATCGCCAGGTGTATTTCCTCGTATATACGTTGGAAACAAATCGTCGTGCCGCGGCCCTGAACGACGGCACCACGTGGATGTCGTCGCGTGTTTACCTTCGCGAAAACGAACTTGGAACTACGCACCATATCTACATCCTCTGCATATTTTCCTGCATACGAGAAATTTATCTTCTGCCCCTCTCGCGTTTCGGTTGATGATAAATTGATCGACGGTAAAATAAACGACACGGATGCTTAAAATAATTTGACATATCTTTCGAAATGAAATGTAGAAAGGCGACAAACATTGTTTTAAATATAATTTAAATGTAAGACAAATATTTTTTATAAGCATCTATAAAATAAAGGAGAGAAAATATTATACGCAATTTTAATTTTCGTTATTATTTTTGTGACGAACTATCGTAATGTTATTAACGAGTGTCTAGAAAATATTCCTATCTCTTTTCGCGTTTATGTTATAACGATTATAGGTTCAATTTGTATTATTCCTTACGATCGATTTTATCAATTGCGCATCTGGCTTTCGAACTTCACAAGTACATCTATATTTACATTTCGCATGATTATAGTAGTACACGTGTAAATTATTTTCGCATAAATTATGGAACGATTATTTTTTGATCGCGAGCTGTGATTTTCGTCGACACGGCACATTTAATCTTAATCTTGAAGCATCACGCGTCAAATAATATCTGTATTTTTATGGAATATCTCACTCTATCGACGAGATACGTAATCTGAGAGATCAAACCGTCGCGGCAATCGAGTTCTAGGGGAGATTTATCTTGGAGAACAATAGTTCGACGAGAAATTGCATTTTCGGGAGACGCTTTTGAGACTCGAGTCGGTTAACCAATCGATTGCGGGAGAGAAGTTTTTGAAACACAGCATGCGGAATATGGGCCATGCCATACGGCGCACCTGTTTGACCCCCGAAGACGTAAGGACGCGTGGTCGGAGAGACGCGAGCGAGCCTTGAGGAAGGCTGCTGGTAAAAGTAAATGACCTTACGGAGGCGAAGTGCGAAAGGAGGCAGAGCGCGGGCGATGGTGTTCGTACATCCGTACGTACGTGCGTGTGCGTGCGTGCGTGCGTGCGTGCGTGTGACCTATCCTTTGCCGGGTCTACGAACCCGAATTGGGCCAGGGCCTTGACTCTCGAGTACATCGCGGGTTCGAAGTCCTTCCTTTCCCGGTGTTCTCTCCTTCCCTCTCGTTCGCCCATCCTTGTCGTTGAATATCCGTTCCGTGAACTCACCTTCCTCGTGCAAAGGGGGACGGCCGGCTAGACGTAATCGTACGCGCGCGTGCACAGGGCGCCGCGTGCCCTGCGCGCGCGTGACGCAATCGTCGGCGCGGAGCGGCGCGGCGCGGTGCGGAATGGCCACCCTGCGCGGGCCGCCTCGGGGACCATGGGAAATGCGGTCATGGTCAAGGACTGACCGGTGCACGAATCTCCGATCGGAGAAAGTTTTTGCATCGATCTGATCTCATTTCGGCGATTCTTGCATATCGCGAGAAGAGGGGCTTTAACGCTTTTGCTATTGATGTTGCTCGAGTGGCTGTTGTCGAAACGCGGAGGCTGTTGTGACGGGATTATACCTGTAAACCTTTTTGCATCAGCGCGATAGCCATGGCTAAAAAAATGTTTGGCTTTGCCAAAAATAGGATTCACATTTATACGATAGAATGATAATTCATTATGGCCTAGGTCCCCTCGGAAAGGTCTTCTCTGTGCACCGATGAAACTTTACGGCATCTAAATGTAAAGTATATGGAGATGTATGCACATATGTAGATAGCGATTCGATAAAAGTTTTGCACAAACAATTATTTTTCTTCTTTCATCTCCTGTTGCTACAATTTTACGGTAACGCG